CACACAGTTCCTACATCCCCCGTGAGTGTGGAACTTCACCTACACTTTGAAACTACGTCAGTAGGTTCAGAGGAGCAGCTTAGTGGAACTTGCATGCGTGTCTGTATTATTAAGGATTGTTACTGAACTCCATCTAATGCTGAATGTAGAATACTAATTAGACACTAAATAGATGAGTTTATTTCAGGAAATACTGGAAGCGAATCTTTAAGATGCTTTTAATCACATTTAAAATCCCAGGCACTTCAGTAGGGAACAGAAAAAAGTCAATATACAATTCTTAACCACTTCTCTAACTTTGGGTCATGGAGCGCTGGAGCTTATCGTCGTGTTCGTAGGGGAAAACGTGATGTTTATATTGCATACGTAACAGATTATTGGACTGGGGGAGGAAACTAACACGGGTACTGTGAAAACATGCAAACTCCACACAGAAAAGTTCCAGTTAATCTGGAGGTTTATACCAGGAACCTTGGTGTTGTTAAGCATTAGTGCTAACCGCTTCCCAACACACTGAACCTTTATTTCTGTTTAAGTGTAAAATATTTAAAATCTATGATTTAAAAAAAGCGTATGTGATAAGTTTGAATCCTGCTAACTGTTCACCTCCACGTGCCTGGCTCAATGCCCTATGAAGGGGAGCGGTATATTTGATGGTTGCTGGAAATTAAATTGCCTGCCAATTTTGACATTTATGTAGGAGGAAGGCAAATGCTGTCACAGTACCACAGATACTAGTACAGTATATTTCTATGAAACCAGAATGATTACGCATGAAAGATAAGTGCTACAAAAGGAAATGAGATCTGAGATATGTTTTTTTTTTTAAAACATCTGTTTTATTTTTGAACACAGATGCCCACAGTGTCACATGCAACGCAGGCAGTGTCGCACTTACAGAGATCAGCACGAGCAACTACAAATACAAACGTATGCATCGTTTAATAACATTTCAGTTAAGTTTTTCCAGCAGAATCACATATGTTTTCATTTATTCAAACTTTACAGCAGTTAAATGAAGGAGTTGTTGAAAACAGGAGGTCAGCACAGATTTCTTGTAAGACCTTCAAAGGGCTCATATCCGTGCTACTCTTCTCCTTTATTCACATTTAATGTTTAAAGTGCAAACCACACATCAATCATACTTTTCTCAATGCACCAATGAGCTCTTTGGCGCACAGAGGAATCATTACAATAAATAATACCAAGCATTGCTGACTGCTCATGGTGGTTTGCCTTAACATGCAGCCTTGAAAATTATTATTGGAGACCTGAGTTTGCTCCACAGCGTCTTTGTTGACTCATGCTGAAACACTCCAGAGCATTCAGAAATCACATGACAAGCATGTATTACAGTAAAAAGGCTCTTAGCCAAGTTCTGTTTACTGGAATACTTTCCAATGAGATGTGAGGAATCTGTATCAGAATGAGGTTAGTGTGTAAATCAATATGAGATTGGATCCTGGATCCTGTATGTATTTATCTATTCATTTATGGTTTAGTCGACACTATATATATTTTTTCTAATTTTTAATTTTTTTTAGATCAATTTCTTACCTACTGACCTCCACATGGCAGAAAGTCAATGCTCCTTATCTGGACGTACTGTTTTCAGCAGGAGAAACCAAGTGACTTTGAGCTCAACAATTATTAAACCAGTTTTATCAAACCAGGTAGCCGACGCCAATCCGTATGTCCAGGACAACTTGAGGACAGATGGTGCTCCTCCTATAATACAGGTGAGATTTTAGTAATTATTGCGCACAATGCCGCCCCAAGGATCAGGTCCCCCGACACAAACAGAGTAAAAAAGTGTATGCAGTTCAGTGCAAGGAGGATTGCCATGATTTATACATCAGGGAAACCAAACAACCTCTGGCGAAGCGGCTGGCACAACACAGAAGAACTACCTCGTCAGGCCAGGACTCCACGGTCTATTTACACCTACAGGCCAGTGGACACTCTTTCAAGGATGAGGATGTTCACATCCTGGACAGGGAGGAATGCCGGTTTGAGCAGGGAATCAAGGAGGCCATTTACATGAACAGGGAAAGACCATCTCTGAATTGAGGAGGGGGCCTAAGGGTACATCTTTCACCATCTTACAATCCTGTGATTGCAGCCATTCCCCAACTCTCTGTGAATGGTACTCATGGCCATTGATCAGTGGTCTTTGATCAGTGAGCTTTGATCAAGGGTTGTTGATTTATGGTCATGAGGATTTGCATATTAATGATTAAGGAACTGACGTCCAAGCCCATTGTTCACCAGAGAATAGCTGAGTTTGAAGGCATTTTTGAGACTCAAAATGTGGTTTTAGTGTCAGGCATTCATTTTTGTCCTCACTAAGATATGAAAACGTGTGTGTGTGTGTGTGTGTAGGTGTGTGTGTGTGTGTGTGTGTGTGTGAAAGAGAGAGCGAGCTAGAGAGAGAGAGAGAGGTACATCCTTTCCCAGCTAGAGCCTCCAGTCTCAACACCCCCACTCACTTCTTTCATACACAAAAATATCTCTCCTCTGTTGGTTTACTCCCCCCCACCTCCATTTCCGCCAAGTTAAGAGATCTGACATCACAGGGTCCATCATGTGATCCACCCGCACAGAGCGTTGCAGTGATGGATGGGGCCTACCGGTGACGCACATACCCACTTTCTGTAACCCTTTAAAAGCCAGACAACTGCCGATGAGTGAAACCAGGGTTTCTTCATCAGCTGACTAAATCATGGTCGGTTCAGTCGCCCCTCTGTGTTTTTATGTACAAAGCAGAAATTATCACATCTACCACATGAAAAGGAGGGCAAACAATACAGGCTTCTTCAAGCCATAATTACTCAAACTAATTTATTGCGTCATTTTCAGTTGCTGTTGAAGTGGCAGCACTGTTGTTTGAAGTGTTGTTGCTGTATACAATATTGATTTTATGGAGATGTTTAAAAACTGTCTGACTTTAAAAATATCTTTACAAATAAAAAAAGAAAATTAGGGAATGTGTGCCAGAAAATGGAAACTCCAAAGTAGAGAAGAAATGAACAAAATGCAAGACCAAAACCAAAAGCAGGAAACTGTTCACTGACCAGAGGAAATGTTGAAATTGAAGCAGTTTCAGATTCAACTTCCCCTAATTGATATGTCCTAAAATCGCTGACTGAGAGCACAAAACAGAAGTGAACGCTCTTTTCTGAGACAAGCATTAAGTCTGAGCACAGAGATTCACCAATGGGTCACCACAACTCGTATCCAGAATTGTGCAAAGGGACATTTCCATTTTAATCTGCAGTGTTGCTGTTATCATTTTTTTTAAATATATTTGATAGAAAATGAACCTGGTACAATACGATCTTTAATCATTACTGGGTTTGTTTTACATTTGATTAAAGTTTAGATCATATTAAGCTTGAAGTGCAGCTATCATCAAGTTACGATATTTGTTATTTACCATGGTACATGTTGTGTTTTTGTTGACTTCGTTTCACATGCAAGAGGAATGACGTGCACTCTGTTATTGCCACTGTTGCTGTGTTTTGGGAAAACCCACTAAACCCCTTTGCTCAGTGAGTGGTTTAAAGGCCTGTCCAGCTTCCTTTCTACAGCAATAAACAGCAACAATTGCAATAACATTTAATCCGAGTGTTAAAAAATAATGTGGCATGATCACTTGTGGACAGCAGGGTTTCTGTAAAACCCCAACAAACTCATGGTTCACATGTTTAATCACATAAGTTGACTTTGTTCCTCGCTGTGACTGGAGTTTGTGGTAGAATGAGAGTAAAAGCACTACATGTTTAACAGCATACAGAAAATCTGGAATATTATATAAGGCTTAAAATATTCTACTGTTTCTCTTGAAGACTGAGTTAAAAACAGAAAACAAAAAAAGACCAATCAATCAAGGTTTACAGTTTGTAGACTTTCAGCTGTTTGAGAGGTTTTAGAAAAAAAAATACTGTTTTGGAATTAAAGCCATTTTTACACACAGTTCCCTCGTTATCACAGGCTCACCCTTCATTCAACAACTTAACATGATTTTAAATATAAGGATTGTTTTCAGTGCGTGGATGAAAATTCTGTCTCCCTTGTGGTGCTCTGTCAGGCCTTCATTGCAGCCACTTTTTTGCTGATGATCACATTTTTTTTGCACCTGATCACATGTTGGGTTGTGATCAGGTGACTGACTTGGCCATCGAAGAATATCTCATTTCTTTTCCTTGAGCAACTCTTGGTTTGCTCTTGCAGTATGCTTTGAGGCATTAACCATTTGAAATCCTTAATACTATGTCCACAGTGTTTGACAAATAATGTGTTACTCTCCTGATCATGAGCAGTTTCTTTTCTCTTCCCATCACTCTTGTCCAATTTAACTCTGGTTTCATCTGTCATGTTTATAGAACTGTGCAGGCTCTTTGTCTAAAAAGTTTGGTTTGATCTGGCCTTCCTGTTCTTTACAACCACTGGTTTATATATATATATATATATATATATATATATATATACAGATAGATAT